ATCGGTTTAATATGTGAAAGATCACTCATTTATAAGGAGGGGATAGCAACTCTATTGGTATGAGGCATTTTGGGGAAACCCAAGAGCGAAAGTAATTGAGTTCGACCCAATTTGGACAATATCATATCAATGTGGAGTTTGTGCTATCCCGATGGGACCCAACAACATATTGTGTCTCGATTGTTGGCAAAGGCAGAGTATTTCATAAACTTATATAAAATAAATTGTAATGTAGTACACATTTAGTTGAATAAGTAAAAGTGTTTTAAAAAAAAAATCTTGAAATACATAGAAATTCGATAGATTGAAAACCGTAAACATTTAGAAGAAAGCAAAAAATACTTTCTTGTTATGTTTGTATTATTTTTTATCATAAGATTTAATAGAGATTAGGGATTGAGATTGTGAAAAATATTTTATAGGATAAATTATAAGGCAAATGACAAATAGGCCCATGACACATGGACTTAATTAGACTAGGGACATCCATTTTTTTTGTCTTGCAAAAAAACCTAATACTTAAAAGTTTATTTAAAGGGTTAATCACAAAAAAAAACCATGACAAGGGCACTTAATTAAAAGAGGGACATCCAACTTTTTTATCTTTCAAATAAATCCAGCTCATTCAAACTTATTTGCAAATAAGGAAAATCCTTTTATATATACCAAAATTACCCTCAATTCATTGAAACCCAATTCAACTACAATTTCATGATTTACACCCCAATTTAGATAAATTTCATCAATTAACCAATTTTAACCCTAATTTCAATTTTGACCCCAATTTTGACCCGCCACCACCAGAGATCGCCGGTCGCCGCCGTTGACTGTCGGTCTCTGGCGTTGTCTCTTTTTTTTTTTTTTTTGGAAAATTATTTTTTTCCCCGGGTCTCCGGCGTTGACTTTTTTTTTCTTGTTTTTTTTTTCTTAAAAAAAATGTTTGAATTAATATTACTGTCTTGGCTGCTAAATTACTGTCTCCTGCAGTTATTTAACTGTCGGATACAGTAATTTAACTGTTAATTGACTTTTTTTTTCTTCAAAAATATTTTAATTAATATTACTGTCTTTGCTGCTAAATTACTGTCTCCAGCAGTTATTTAACTGCCGGAGACAGTAATTTAACTATTAATTGACTTTTTTATTCTTACAAAAAATATTTTTAATTAATATTACTGTATTCGTTATTAAATTACTGTCTCCATCAGTTATTTAACTATCTGAGTGATTTTTCTACAATTTTCGGTGAACGTATTGGGTGAAGAAAATACGGTGGAAACATTTCGAGTTGTTTTCGTATTTTTGAGTTTGCATTCACAAAAACTAAAAGGGAGGGGGGATTTGTATATTTTTTAGTACTTAAGGGAGGGTATTTTCGGAAAGTGGTAGCAGATGGGCTTTTTTGTAGGAATATTTTTTGTCTGGATTGAAATGCAAATAAGTAGCACTCAATGGGCCTATTTGCCATTCGCCCTAAATTATAATAGAAAGTTAAATTTAAAAGGTGGAAATAATAATTTATTTTTTAATGTGGACCATATATAAATATTTGTAAATAAAAAAATCAATATATAATAGTATATAAAAGTTAGTATACCAACCAATTACTAATTATTTGTTTATATATCCATCCAATATCTATAAGTATTAGTATATATATACAATAGTAAAAAAAAAATTGGGGGGACAACAGCCCCCCTGTCCCATAGAAGTTCCGCCACTAGTTGCATGGCAACTACATGCTGTGAGTTTAAGTGGCTGAAAGTACTTTTGCATTTTCTCGGGATCTCACGTGACAAACCAATGCACTTGTATTATGATAGTCAAGCAGCTTTGCACATCGCCGCAAATTCTGTTTTTTATGAACGAAACATATTGAGATTGATTGTCATTTCGTTCGGGACGAAATAAAACAAGCTACTATTGTTACGTCCCGTGTACGGACACATGAGCACCTCGCCGACATTCTGACCAAGGGACTTGGTAAACTGCAGTTCGAACAATTTCTTCACGAGTCGAACATTCACAATCTTTATGCGCCAACTTAAGGCCGGGAATTATTGAGATACATTAGTTATACATATATACGTTTGATATTATTGTAACTTAGATAGTTTATTCAGAATGGTAACATATAATCTTATAATCTTATATGATTTAGGGTTTCTTGTAACTTCAGTGTAAAGGAGATTTGTGTTTAATAAGAACAAACACAATATTTCTTCTCCAAAAAGACTTTACAAATTATAAGATTGAATAATATGAATCTCTATATTTGGAGAAGTGGTTTCATACACCTGCAATCGGATATTCGGAATCATACATCAATGTGATAGTGGATATTTCAAGAAAAAAAAATATACAATTTTTTTTTTGAAATTGTTGTAAATATTATAAACATTATGGGTATTCTTATATTTAGCCATGTTCGAGGAAGTTAATTAAGTTTCCACTATTGTAACATCTTATAACTTTTATTTGGTGATTTTTTCCTATATGAATGAGAAAAAGAAAAACTCTCTCTCCTAAATATCCCCACAATTATCTCTCTTATTATTATTTTCGTTGTATCTCTATTCTTGTTATTTATTTCTTATGTTTAGTCCACAATTGCAAAGTCAAAAAGCAAGATTCAGTAAGCAAAACTAAAGAGCTAGATTAAGTAAGTCATTTTACAACATAAATTTTATTTTTAGTAGTTATATGTTAAGAAAAGATTCTTTTAGTCGTCATCTTAAAATATGAATTAATTCAGTCTAATATATTAACCCAAAGTACTTACGGAATATTGTTGGTGTACTCATTTCTAATTATGTGATGAAAAAAAAATCTAAATATTTTAATTGCCTCCCCGTGTGATAGCTTGCAGTATACCTCGTTTAATTGCGAAGATAAGAATAAATAATATCATGTAAATTTAATTAAAATATCAGACCTTGGGACGTCCAACAAAAAACTCCATAAAGGGCAAAATAAAGAAAGATAAATATAATAACGTAACATAATATTTTCGTGTCGATTCAAAAAATTATTGGGTTACCAAACATCAAACAATGTTCAATTATTTAATTAATCATGACTAATATCCCCAATCAAAACGAAGGCCTTAATTGATATTTATGTTCTGTAATTATCGAAATTTTGGTGGAAAATAGTAACTATCGAAGTTATACAATGCAATAACGAATTGACTTCACGAAAAGTCATGAAAAACATTTGTTTTGGGAATGTTCTTTTACCCTACTCCTTTAATCTATAAAATAAATTTGAAATTCATAATTAAAGACCAAAAAAAAAAAATAACAATTAAAGAAAAAAAGTAGGAAATTTCTAGAATTCGACAAAATACGACAGTCCGATAAAGACTTATTTGGACAAGCAGTTTTGGTTAAAAATAAAAACACGTGCAATAATCACGTGCCAACCTACGCGTGCAGTTATATATATACTATGGTTAAGTTAAAAACCAGCTAGCAGTAGCAGCCACCAGACTAATTCCTCATGTGGTTGCAATTTGCAAAGAATCTTGACTTGTTTCACACGAGTTACATGCTAATTTAGTTGGACCCATTTTAAATAAGATAAGTTTTTATATTCATATTTATATTCTAGTGGATGATATATTTATTTATAACATAAGTTCAACTATTTTATATTTAATTAGTTTCAAGGGTACATCTAAATTCACAAATAAAAGAGGATTATTCCGTAATTAGTACTTGTTATATTTGCATTTTTTTTCTCTTCTTATTCGTTACAAAATTATTTTACTTTTTTTATAATTTTAATAAACAAATAAACCATCTGAACACAAAATTGAATATTTAAAATTCAATGAGGGTAATTTCATTTTTTTTTACTGGTTTTTTATTTTCATGGTGCAAAGTAATAAATTAAATTGTCATTTTCTTCTACTTCCGACATTATTTCGAGTGTATAAAATGTGAAAAAAACAAAAATCACAATGAATTACTGAAAAAACTATATTTTCTTACTAAAAATAAACTTTTTCTCGCTAAATTATCCGATTGATTGATCTTTTATTGTAATTAGTAAAAATATTTGGTGGAAATCTTTGGAAGAAAATATATTTTTTTTTATTTTTCTCTTGTTCTTTGTCTTTTTCGTAAAAAAATAAATTGTGATTTTATTTAAAATATGTTGATATATATATATATATATATATATATATATATATTATTTTAAACACTTTGTAGTTTCGAAATGATTGATGAATATAAAAAAATGGAGTGTTTTGGCACTTTGCATCCTTAAAAACCAGTAATAGTACTTTGCACCCTCAAAACACAATAAAATGCACGATGCACCCTTAAATCTTAATTGAATAGTAAACGAAAATTCATTTTTTTAGGGGTGCATAATAACAAATTAAACTGTTATTTTCTTCAACCTCCAACCTAATTTTGAGCGCACAAAGTGCGAAAAAAATATAAATTACATCGGATAATTGAAAAAAAAAATTATTTTCTTACAAAATAAGATCAAATAAACTTTTAACACTAAATTATTCAATTGATAGATGTTTTATTGTAATTGGTGGAAATATAAGGTAGAAATATTTGGAAGAAAATATGACTTTCAGATAACTTGATAACGAAATAATTGAAGAATCTTTTTTGTGATAAAAAGTTTAATTTTTAAATACCACTAAAAATGTTAAATTACATTTATTAGCTTTGAAAACTCATGTGGGATGCATTATGCATGATATATTGTGTTTCAAGAGTACAAAGTACTATTAATTTATTTCGAGGGTGCAAAGTGCCAAAGTGGTATATTTCAAGGGTGCGAAGTGAAATTAAGCCTAAAAATATTAAATTATCTTCATTAGCTTTAAAAACTCATTCGAGTTGCATATCACATAATTTATTATAATTCGAGAGTGTAAAGTGCTAATAATTTTTTTATGGTGCAGAATGCCTAAAATTCAAGGATGCAAAGTGGGATTAAACCCATATTAATGTTACAACAACAAAGTATTGGAACAAAGAATCCCATGTTTTATGACATAAATAAAACCACCATCCCAAATTACTATTGGGATTCATTTCATACCTATGTACACTCGAGCCTTTACATCTAACAAATTACCACAAAACCAGAACCCGAAAAGCTGAACACAAAATAAAAAAAAGCTCTCAATTCTGCATCCAGCTTCTCAACTTCAAAACTAAAAGCTCTCATCCTTCTTTAAACTATATATACTAAAATAAAAACGAATCGAAGCTACACAGATCATCATACAAGAGAGAGACGCCCGTACAAACTTAAGTTCTAACCGACATTCGATTTCAGCTAACTAATTTCGAAATCAAAGCGGCCCTCAGCTGATCTTGCGAGAAAAACCGGCCCTCCATTTTCACCGTAGCTTGTTGGATCATCAAATCGTTCACAACGGAAACGCTCGCGTGATGAACATCCAAATCCAACTCACGAAGCGCCACCATCATCTTAGCCGCCGGGTGATTCTTCTTACTACACTGAACCCTGATCATCGCGTCCCATCCAATTATCTTCACGTCTATCTCCATATCAACTATCCCCTTCGAAGATTCTTCTTTGGCCGAGGAATATTCCTTATCCTTCTTCTTCTGCATGGAGGACGACGAAGACTCCAGCTGTCTCCTCAACTCGTCTTTATCGAGCTCGACGTTTTGAAGCTTCGACTTGAGCTCGTTGATGTACGCGATCGCGTCTCCGAGCAGAGATGCTTTGTCCATTTTCGAGACGTTGGGCACGACGGCTCGAAGCGCGTAGAATCTCTGGTTCAACTTCTCTCTCCTCTGTCGCTCCGCTTCGACGTGATTGAGCGGCTCTTCTCTCCCGTTTGCGGGTTTCCTCCCTCGTTTTCTCGGCCGTTTTTCCGGGTCGACGACTCTACTACTCTCGACTTCCTTCACCACCGACGCTTCGAGATCCGACTGGTCGGAATCTACAACACCACCACCACCGCCGCCATTCTTGACCATGCCGGAAGTAAACGAGAGCATGCCTTCGTCGTTACTTCCTCTAGAAGTTGGAGATGTCTTCTTCTTGTTTTTATTGTTGTTGTTGCTGTTGTTGTTATTGTTATTCTCGCCTTGCGCACCGAACGGACTCGTCTTTATACTCTCTCCGAAATTCAGAATCTCTCCCGATTCGCGCTTACAAAGACCGGCGTTTCTAACATTGCTACTACCGTGGGCACCGAATTCGGAGAAATTCAATTCCCGATTGAGGTATCCCGGATTATTAGTAGTTTGGTTATGCGGATTATCGGTCAACGTGCTGGAACACGGATTCGGGTTTTCGTTGCCGAACGCAACTTGCTTACTGGTAATACTACAAGGAACTGAATTGGTGGTGGTGTTGTTGTTGTTGATGTTATTGAATGAATCCTTATCCATGGTGGAAGAAGAAGGGTCGGTCAACCAGAGGGCGGCCGGATCGACGTTGTCGGGTAGGGCCCAAGAGCCCGACCCGGATCCGGAACCCGTTTCGGCGCCGTTGTTGAAATTGAACAGAACCCTGACCTTTTTCATGAGATCCGAGCTCTGGAAGATGACTTCGGTGGAGCCGAGCTCGACGACGCCGTTTGAGGAAGGTATGCAGACGATTGTCTGAAGACCGAATCTCTGCGCCTCGTGGGCCCGGACGCAGCGGTACGCGGCCAGCTTGTCCGGCCCGGTTACCCAGACCGGGCTTGAGCTGTAGAGGGCCTGGCCCGGAATTCCTGACCCGTTTGCGAAGGATTGGGTCATGGATATCAGGAAGAACCACTCGGTGTCGGTGACTTCTTCGTCGACGGGTTCGTCGGCGGCGGTGGTGGACTGAGTGCCGGAGATCAGGGAGTTCAATTCCCGGAGCACCTTCTTTCTGTGCTCCTGCTCGGCCGGGGAGGATGCGGATTTGCGGTTGCCCTTGTCGTCCTCGCCTTTGTAGTAGCCGTCGCCCCAGGTCAGCGCCGCCGGAGCGCCGTACTCGGCGGCGGAGGACTGCCAGAAAATCGCGTAAGTCCAGCTCTCGCGGGCGCCCTCGATCAGGGCGAGCAGGCGCTGCTGGAGCGTTTCCTGATTGAAGAACTGGGACGATGCTGCGGCGGCGGCGGCGGGAGGCGGCGGCGGCGATGGAGTGAGGACGAATGGAGTGTGTTGACCGAGACCGGAGGCCGGCCAGAAGGAAGTGAGATCGGAAGCGGAGGCCATAAAGGCGTCCATCATGGTGGTGGTGGGGTCTCCCTCCGCCGCCGATGTAACCGCGGCGGCGGAGCTATGAGGAGTCCATATATTCATCGAAGAAAGGTGTCGGTAGGCGGCGGCGGCAATGAATCAATCAACTAAAACTTGTGTTGAATTACAATCAAGAAGAAGAGTAGTAGTAAATTGAAATTCAGCAGAAGGTGTTTATCTCATATCCGTTAATCCAATTCTTGAATCTTTGTTTAGAGAGAGAGAGAGAGAGAGAGAGAGAGAGTTAAAACTTCTGTTTTGTTTGGGAGAAGAAGTAGAGAGAGAAAGAAGGTAGGTAGAGAGAGAAGGAGAAATGAGGGGCGGCTAATGGTTGGAGCGGAAGAGGAGGAGGGATGTACTATAGAGATAGAATCATAGAATATGTGAGTATTAGGTGGAGTCATTTCGCATTTATTTGGGATGAATTTCAGCTGAATTTCGCCACCTATTCCTTCACTTCACTATATCCTCTCTACTTTTTCCAATTCCTATTATTTCTTCAATTTTTTTTTTATAAATTACAAGAGTGAATTGTAAAAATATCCTCGTACTATTATAATTTGTTAAAAGAATCAACGGTGGCTGATCGGCGGTCTCCGGTGGTGGCGGATCAAAATTGGTTACTTTGTGAAACTGGGTTAAATTGAGGTGTAAATCGTGAAATTCGGAGTTGAAATAGATTTCAGTGAACTGGGGGTAATTTTGGTATACATATAAGGGTTTCCTTATTTCAAATAAGTTTGAATGAGCTGAAAATATTTGCAAGACAAAAAAGTTGGATGTCCATTTTTGAATTAAATGTCCTTGTCATGGGCCTTTTTGAGATTAACCCTTATTTTATTAGGGAAAATTCTCTTATATTGCTTTTATTTTAGCGTGTAACCTCTTGAAATGTGAGTTTTTATGAGCTCAAAATTAAATTATAAGGAATTTTTTTCGAACAAAAACAACGTCAGATATTTCTTGAGAGGTAATTTGCATAGGAGTGTCGAATGCAATAAACTCTAAATTGTAATATTCGAGTTGGGTTTATACATATACTCGTAGATTTCAGTCGTTCTAGTAAGATCCAAGTCAGTTGTGACCTCGATATTCATTATAATTATTCAAATAATTAATTTTTAAGTTGTACCTTAGAAAGAAAATTGGTTCACATAGGTAATACAATTCGAGTGTTGCTTTTAGTTGAAAAAAAATGCTTGGATACGATTTAAACTTATATTTCAAGTTAGTTAAAGTATTCTATTAGAGTATATTATATTATAATGACTCTCGTAATATTAGGATTCTATTATGATTCAGTTATCTACATTAATTAGGATTTAGTTACCTAGTGAAACTCTATTACCTCGTATTACTTTTCTATATATATTTCTTGTAAATCAACCCATAACATAACGGGGGTTTTCTTTTACGTATTATTATTTATCTTCTTTATTTCTCCTATTTTATTCTTCCTATATATTCTTATAGAGTCGTCCATTTGGATAGAAGAATTTGATTTGAGGGAATGATTTGAAATTACTCCAATTTGAAGTATATTTGAAATCCACTCCAATTGCTCAAAAACCAACTAAAAATGAGGGGTGATAATTTGAAATTCATCTCCAAATCCTCCAATCCGAACAAGTACAAGGGATTTGTTATATGGATTTGAAATCCCTTTATCCAAATGCATACATATATACGTTGGTTCTCTTTTTTAATTTGTCTGAGTTGATTCCTTCGTACAAGAAAAAGTGTTCTAACTTTAGTATTAAGGCATAATTTCAACTTGAATTGAAGTCATAATCACAATTCTCATGTGTTGATGAGATATTAACTGTATTTACCATCAACTTTTTTAGTAAAATTTGGATCTTGTTTAAACATATATAGTAAAGTGAGGGAATTAGGATTTGAACCATTCATTTTCATTATTAATCCCGCTTACATCCTTGAAATATTAATTTTTGACAATTTGTACATTTGAAAAATATTAATAGCATTTTGCACTCTCGAAACACAATAAATCTTGGATAATGCAAATTGAATGAATTTTTAAAGCTAATGCAGGTAATTTAATATTTTTACTAGTATTTTTTTAGAATGCCAAATATTATTTGAAAATTATATTTTTCTTCCAAAGATTTTACCGAATGTTTTTACTAATTACAATAAAAGATCCATCAATTTAATATTAGTGAGACAAAAAAAAAATATTTTTTAATTAAGAAATATTTTTTTCCAGTAGTTCATTGTGAATGTTTAAATATCCGATTCACGGTGAATTGTGAATGATTTATTGTGTTTCAAGGGTGTAAAGTGTTATATTTTTTTCAAGGGTGCAAAGTGCTATATTTTTTTCAAGAGTGCAAAGTGCCAGAATTATACATTTCAAGGGTGCAAAGTGGAATTAAGTCCTAATTATAAGGATTAAATATAATTCTTTTGGTGAAGATTAGTTAAATAAAATTATTTGAAAATATATGGCGAAATTGATGCAATCTTATTAATAAAAGTAAGGTTGCTCCTGCTAAACCATAGGAAAATTTTCCCGCTCATTTGATAGTTATTATTTTTATTTATTTATTTAATTATGCACTTTTATTATTTATTTTCATTTAATATCTTATTAATAAAAGTAATCTTTTCCCACTAAAATTATCATTTTACTTAATATTAATTTGATGGGAAAATTATTTAATTGTTTAGAAAAAACATTTGGTTCTTATCTTATTAATAAAAGTAAAGTTTCTCTCTTATTAATAAAAGTAAAGTTGCTCTCTTATTAATAAATTTAAGGTCGCTCCTGCTAAACCCTATGAAATTTTTCCCGTTCATTTGATAGTTATAAATTATTATTGTCATTTATTAATTAATTACTTTTATTGTTTTTTTAATATTTAATATAATCAAGTTTAATAAATCCGTTAAGTATTCAAACTTTTTTGCCCCAAATTTACGTGTTTTTTTGCACAAACAATTGTCATTTTTACTTAATATTAATTTGATGGAAAATTTAGTTAATGT